AATTGTTCGTCAAAGACATTGTCAAGCTTCATGGAGTGCCCGTGGAGATTGTTTCAGATCGAGATGCCAAGTTCACATCCCAGTTCTGGAGGACGTTGCACCGAGCCATGGAGACGAGGTTGCAGTTTAGTACAGCCTTTCACCCCCAGACCGATGGTCAGTCGAAGCGTGTGATCCAGTACTTGGAGGATATCTTGAGGGCTGTGGTCTTGGACCGAAGCCTGACTTGGGAGTATGCCCTTCCGCTAGTCGAGCTGACCTACAACAACAGCTACCACTCTTCGATCAAGATGTGCCCGTACGAGGCTTTGTACGGACGTAAGGTTCGGACTCCTTTGTATTGGGATGAGGTTGGAGAGAGGAGGATCACAGGACCGGATTTTGTTCAGAGTACTGCTGCGACCGTTGAAGAGATCCGAAAGGCTATCAGGTCCGCCCAGGAGAGGCAGAAGGTCTATGCCGACCGGGAGAGGCATGAGCATGAGTATGCGGTGGGAGATCATGTTCTTCTGAAGGTTTCGCCCATGCGAGGGGTGATTCGCTTCGGGAAGAGAGGTAAGCTCAAACCTCGCTATATTGGGCCGTTCGAGATCCTCGACCGAGTCGGGAACTTAGCGTATCGGCTGGCTTTACCACCAGACTTGTCGGGCGTGCACGACGTATTCCATGTTTCGATGCTTCGGAAGTACGTGCATGACCCTGATCATATTGTGGACTTCGGCGAGCTGCAGGTCGATCGAGACCTTACCTATGAGGAGGTGCCGGTAGCTATTCTGGATCGAAAGGTCCATCAGCTGAGAAACCGGGCAGTGAGCTTAGTGAAGGTGCTGTGGAGCCGAAACGATGAGACTGAAGCGACTTGGGAGAGGGAGGACGATATTAGGAGGCGTTATCCGAACTTCGAGTTCTGAGTTCTCCTTTGTATCTTTTACCTCTTTCTAGTTTTTGTTTTCGAATTCCGAGGTCGGAATTCTTTGTAAGGTGGATAGACTGTGACGCCCCGTTCGTTTGCAAATAATTTGGATTATTGTTATTATTATTGTTATTAATATTATTGCTATTATTATTATTATTGCTATTTGTTAAAATTGTCTAAGTGCTTAAATGAAATTATGTGCCTATTTGTATATATTAAATAAATATTATTTGTGGTAATTTATTTTAAATATTAAATACTATTTTAAATATTTTATGTATCATTATTTTATACTGTTTCGTTAAACCGAGCATTTGTTCGAACCCCCTCCGAACCGTCCGAAGCCGACCCAAACCGCGCCGCATGTGGGTAACCACTTAAACCGCCGCCCCCCCCATTCTTGTGCATGCATGCAACATTAAACTTAAATTTGAATTGAGGTTAAATGTTGTAACCTCCAAACATGATGTAGCCTTTATACCCATTATCACACATTTATGGTGATTTATGGGGAGGAAGACACCATAAGAAGAGATACCCCACCTTCTCTTTTTCCCATTTTCCTCTCCCTCACTCTCTCTCTCTCTCTCCGATCACTCTCTCTCGTTCTCTCTCCCTCCCTCGGCCTTCCCGTCCATCGCGCCTAGGCCACGCGAGCCCTCGTCCGTCCCGCAAGGTCAGCCCGATCGCACGTCCCGGCCGTTGGAGCACCCCAGGCCTCAGTTCGTGCCCCTCCCCGTCGCCATCCAGTGCCCAGCAGACGCGCACGAGACGCCCCGGCATCCCGCAAAGCCGCCAGCGCCCGCAAGCCCGTCTCCCCGCACGTCCGCGATCTCCCTCGGCCCTACGCGCCATCTCTCGTGCGATTTATCCCGAGAACGGTACAAGGCTGTTAATTCTTATCATTTTAGTATATATATGCTAAGTGTTGATGCCTTGTTGGGATATCTCATGTTAAAGTTTGCCATATGATCGATTTTACTCGCATTTTAGTTGTTTATGTTATTCGATAGTGATTATGTGTTAAATCGTGTTAATTGCTGTGGATCTATGGAACACTTGAAGTCTTTGGCCTTATAATGAAGGCCTTAGACAAAATTATTGGTTAAATTATTTGTTATGCATTTTTGTATCGTGTAGTATTGCTGAACATTCGAAAAATCATCTAAATTCGTATACTCGTCCGATTGCTGCGAAATTTGAACTGTATAACTCTCTGATATTGTTATAGGTTGTGTAAAAATTCAAATCAAAATAAGGTCTGTAGCTATGTTAATTGCCGATTTGAAGTTCTGACCTGAAACTTGGAAAAATCATTAAAAATCGAATACTTGGTATTTTTCTGTAAATTTTGGTGAGAGTCAGTGATTTGATGAAATGTGTGTTGTGTCCAAATTTTGCTGAAAAATTCAAAGGATTGCTCGGTGAACTAGAAAGTTCAGATTTTAATCGCCTTTTTGTAAAAAATAGTTGATTATGTTAAACTGAAGTGTTAGATCTGAAAACCTTGTAAATATGTGCCTTTCTGTGTCTATTTTAATGTGTTAAAATTTCATTTAAATCGGTCGAGTAAATTTT